ACAAAAAAAAAAAAGAAACAAAAATATCCACCCCTTTCTCTACTCCAGACCCACCCACACGTCTCTGAACTTGACCCGTCTTCTCAAGGAGTCACGCCCGTCTTCTCCTCGATCCAGTCCAGATAATGGAAGACTCGGGTGAATCCGTCTGGTTCTCCGGCTTCGCACCCTGCAGAAGACCCGAAGGAGGCGATGCCGTAGGTCATGCCGTTGAGGTTGAGGGGCCCGCCGGAGTCACCCTGGGGGAGGAGTAGTGACGAGGAGTTGCCAAGGGAGTTGTGGTCTTGAAGGAAAATTGTAATGAGGTGTTTTTTTTATGAATATGAAGTGAAACGACTTTTGGTTTGCATAGTTTCTGATTGTATATTTATCTATATATATCTATATCTATCTATCTATCTATCTATCTATATATATGGAATCTTCATGATGATTACAGTCACCGTCAAAAACTAAATGACCTTCATTGACCTAAGGTGACCCCCGCCTACTCACGTGACACGTCCCTTGACCTCCGGTGCTGTCGACGCATACTTGACCTTCGCCGACGATCCCATAGATCTTATCACATTGTCTCGCCTCTCCAATGGGACAGGCAACGTCCACCTGACGAAGGACGCTGCCCGCACAATAGCGGCAAGCAGTCGGTCGAAGGAGGACGAACGTAAGGCGGTGATAAAAGTTGGAGGAATGAAATCGAGGGAGGCGTTTTACGAAGTTTGTAGTGCGATCGTGTAAGTTTGAGGTGACGAAATTTGTGAGGTTTTCAACGAAGGAGTGTCTGAACGATATGAGTGATTATAAGTTATGGTGACGTATATTGGTGAAGGCGACGAAGGAGGTCTGTTACTTGAAGGAGGCCGACGAAAGGAGGCGACGTAGGAAGGCAATGAAGGAGGCTTTATGCATGATGTGCGATAACGAAGGATGGCGAATGAAAGGATGCTGACGAAGGAGTCGACGAAGGAGTGCAACGTGAATGAGGCGAATGAAGTGTGTCGACGAAGGAGGCGATGAAGAGCGATCGATAGGCGGCGACGAAGTGTGGCAACTTGAATGGAGATGCTGATGAAGGAGGCCGACGAAGGTAGGCCGATGATGAGGTCTGACGAAGTGTTAGGCGACGATGGAGGCGTTACGAAGGGCCGATTTGAAGGAGGCGACGAAGGCAGGCTAACGATGGAGGCTGGATCGAAGGATGTGCGCGAAGGAGGCGACGAAGGAGGCGACGAAGGAGGTGTTGACCGAAGGAGGCGACGAAGGAAGGATTAATAAAAGAATGTTAATTTTTATGTTATATTTTGTGTTGTTTTGGTTGTTTTGGGTCATGGTGGTTTTGTCGTGGTTTTTTCTCTTTTTTACATTTTTTTTTTTTTTTATTCTATTTTTGTTGTAATTTGCACATTTACCACTATGTATCTAAGTTTTGGTTTTCATGTATAAACAAGCACGTCTGTTGATTTGCTTAGATTTGAATTTATAGTCTATCAAATGTAGATAGATTGCACAATTGTAATAACAGATCACTTTAGAACACCTTTACACTCGATCTAAGCACACCCTATTATGAACAAATGCAATTACGGGCTCATCACACTCACACACACTTACGAAGGATTCACAAACAAACACACACCGAGACTCTGTAAGTCACATCATCTCTATTCATAACTTTATCTATTTTCTCCTCCTTATATCACACTCAAAAACATACGCACATTTATTCATCAGTACAAAATCACAACATTTTAATTTTATCACAGCATGCCAGAACACGAAAGACATACGGACCGAGAGCCCCAGCCACAACGAAGAGAAGACAACACAGGAGAGCACAGCACGAAACTGCCACCCGAGACGCACACACGAAGAACACTGACCCACGCCCACACACACAACAAAAGGGTACCCAGCACGAAGCACACAGATGAGATAGGCCAAACACAAACGATACCCACCGAGAGACCCGAACCCCGCCCACCTCCACACACAAACATGATCCCCCCCAGCACACACACAAACATAGACTCGCCCCCTAATCGACGGGTAGAGAGAGACCAAAACAACACACACAAACATACCCATGACCCACACGCACAGCACAAACATACCCCCGTGTCCCGCCCCCCTCCCGAGAGGCACACACACCAAACATAGCCCGCGGGGGGGAATAAAGTGGGAAAGGCCACAACACCGCCCTGCCCACACCCACACACAAACATGAGCCCCCTCGCCAGGATTGGAAGCACCCAGAGAGGAAGAAGCAGCCACACGACCACCAGCTACACACACACACGACACGAGAGAGACGAGACGAGTAGAGACTGAGCATGTCAGAAGACTGAGCGGCCATCCTGTAGGAGTGGTCGCTGTGAGTGTCCAGAACGCACGTAAATGAATGTATGACGAAGGAGGCTTGAAAGGGGCTATGGGCTGTCCCTTGAGGGAAAAAATAAAGAATGAGTAGGAATGAAGAGGAGCAGAAAGAAAATAAAAACATTGAATAAATAGAAGGAGATGAAGTTGGAAAAGAAAAGAAAATAAAACAGATAAAAATAGAGGATGAGTGGATAAAGAAAGAAAATAAAACATTGATAAAAATAGAGGAATGAGTAAGAGTAAAGGAAGAAAGAAATTAAAAAACATTGATAAAATAGAGGAATGAAGTGGATAAAGAAAGAAAATTAAAACTGATAAAAATAGAGGAATGAGTGGATAAAGAAAGAAAATAAAACATTGATAAAAATAGAGGAATGAGTGGATAAAGAAAGAAAATAATTGATAAAAATAGAGGAATGAGTGGATAAAGAAAGAAAATAAAACATTGATAAAAATAAAGAGGAATGAGTGGATAAAGAAAGAAAATAAAAAATGGGAAAAATAGAGGAATGAGTGGATAAAGAAAAGAAAATAAAACATAAAATTGATAAAAATAGAGGAATGAGTGGAAATAAAAGAAAGAAAATAAAACAGATGATAAAAATAGAGGAATGAGTGGATAAAGAAAGAAAATAAAACTGATAAAATAGAGGAATGAGTGGATAAAGAAAGAAAATAAAACATTGATAAAAATAGAGGAATGAGTGGATAAAGAAAGAAAATAAAACATTGATAAAAATAGAGGAATGAGTGGATAAAGAAAGAAATAAACATTGATAAAAAAATAAAGGCAAAAATAGAGGAATGAGTGGATAAAGAAAGAAAATAGAACATTGATAAAATAAAGGAATGGGATAAAAAGATAATATGGAGAAAGAAAAAAAAGAATGAGTGATAAAGAAAGAAAATAAAACATTGAAAAAATAGGGAAAAAATAGAGGAATGGGTGGATAAAGAAAGAAAATAAAACATTGATAAAAAATAAAGGGCAAAAATAGAGGAATGATGGATAAAGAAAGAAATAAAACATTGATAAAAATTTAAAAAATAAATATGAGTGGATAAAGAAAGAAAATAAAACATTGATAAAAATAAAGGGCAAAAATAGAGGAATGGGTGGATAAAGAAAGTAAATAAAACATTGATAAAAATAAAGGAATGGATAAAGATACTGATAAATAAGTGAGAGAAAAGAAAAGAATGAGTGGATAAAGAAAGAAAATATAGACACATTGATAAAAATAAAGGAATGAATAAGTATATCAACAAATAAGTAAGAGAAAAAAGAAAAGGAAAGAAAAGTAAAAAGAAGAAGGAAAGAAGGAAAGGAAAAAAAAAGAAAGAAAGAAAGAAGAAAAGAGAAAGAAAGAAGAAAAGAATAGAAGAAAGAAAGAAAGAGAAAAATATATGTGTGTGCATATATACATATACAAAAATATACACAGATATATATATGTACAGATAGACAGACGGACAGATGGAGAGATAGATAGATAGACAGATAGACAGAAAGATAGAAACTTATCGGAGCGAGTGAAAAAAATAGAAATGAAAAGATGCCCAAAAACAGTAAAGAGAAGAGAGAGAGAGAGAGAGAGAGAGAGAGAGAGAGAGAGAGAGAGAGAGAGAGAGAGAAGAGAGAGAGAGAGAGAGAAAGACAGAGAGAGAGAAAGACAGAGAGAGAGAAAGGAAAAAAAAGAGAAAGAAAGAAAGAGAACGAGAAAGACAGAGAGAAAGAAATAAAAAGAAAGAGAGAGAGAGACAGAGAGAAAAAGAAGAAAGTGAGAAAGAAAAGAAAGAAAGACAGAAAGACAGAGAAAGAAAGAAACAAAAAAGAGAGAGAAACCACCTGCCTACCCCTCCCCCCTCCCTCCTCCGCCCTACCTCCCCCACCCCCACCCTACCCCCTCCGCCCTCCCCCCATCCCCAACTTACCTGTGAATTCCACGGGCGTCGGCAACCTGACGAGGGCGATGTCGTTGGCCACGGTGAAGGAGTCCCAGTCCTCGTGGGCGAAGAAGTCACTTGAACTCATCGTGACTTGGGTGTCCTCGGCCTCGAACAGGTTGTGGGCGCCGAGGACCACCTCCACGGAGAGGTGTCTGGAGAGGGGGTGGGTGGGAGAGGGAGGGGGTCGAGAGGAGGGGGGGGATGGGGGATGGGGTGGGTGGGAAGGGGGAGAGGGGTGGGGGGGTTCGAGGGAGGGGGGATGGGGGATGGTGGAATATGGGTGGAAGGAGGAGAGATATCATTGAAAAGTTAAATTTTCTTATTTAAATGATTTTTCATTATATCATATAGAAATTCAACTATTTATCCAAATGATTATTCATTATATCACTATAAATTGCTCTCGATTCAAATTCCTATCCATTCTATCCTTATAAATTTCTCTTTATCCAAATTATTATTTATTATAACACTAGAACTTTCTCTTGATTTAAATGCTTTTTCTCTCACTGTATATATATATATATATATATATATATATATATATATATATATATATATATATATTATATATATATATATATATATATATATATATATGTATATATATATATATATATATATATATATATATATATATATATATATATATATATATATATATATATATATATATATATATATATATATATATATATTGGTTCAAATGCTTATTCATTCTATCACTGTATAAATTTCTCTTTATTCAAGTGATTATTTATGATACCACTATTAATTTCTTTTTATCCAAATGCTTATTCAGTCTATCACTGTAATTTTCTCTTGATTCAAATACTTATTCATTCCATCACTATTAATTTCTCTTTATCCAAATCACTATAAATTTCTCTTTATCCAAATCACTATAAACTTCTCTTTATCCAAATCACTAAAAATTCCTCTTTATCCAAATCACTATAAATTCCTCTTGATTAAATTGCTTATTCATTCTATCAGTATAAATTTCTCTTTATCCAAATCACCATAAATTTCTCTTTATCCAAATCACTATAAATTTCTCTTTATCCAAATCACTATAAACTTCTCTTTATCCAAATCACCATAAATTCCTCTTCATTCAAACGCTTATTCATTCCATCACATTAATTTCTCTTTATCCAAATCACCATAAATTCCTTTTGATTCAAACGCTTATTCATTCTACCACTGTACAACTGCATCACTGTTCCACCTCACATACCTGTCGACGCAGTGAGCAGCCGTGAGGACCCACTCGCTGGAGATGAGGGAACCGCCGCAGAAGTACAGGAAGTCGACGAAGAGAGCCACCTGATGGGGCCACGAGTGAGGGACGGCCTCAGTGCCACCCACGATGCGAGTGCCACCTATGTCGACGGATAGACAGAGAGGTAGGTGGGTAGGTAGGATGGGAGGGAGGAAGGGGGTATTAAATAATTACTAAAATAATTATCAATATTATATAATTAATAAAATAATTATATAACAATTAATAAATAATCACTAAATAATTATTTATTTATAATTATAAATCAATAATAAAATAAATTAATATTAATAATTACTAGATTAATTAATTACTAAATTAATTAATTATGAATTAATTATTAAAATAATTACTAAATTAAATTATGATATAAATTAATTAATTATGAATTAATTATAAATTAATAATTACTAAATCAGTTTAATATAAATTGATTTATTATGAATTAATTATTAAATTAATAATTACTATATTAATTTATATATAAATTAATTATATTGATTATTGATTAATTACTAAATTAATTATTAAATTAATTACTAAATTAATTATTAAATTAATTATATAAATTAATTATGATAATTATCACGCCCAAAATGCAATTCAGAGGCGCCGCCCCGAAAAAAAAGTGACGGCATGGACCTACGCCTGCTATATTTAAATGGAATTCGAGACCTCAAACCGTGGCCAATCGTCTCTACTCCATCATAGCCTTCCATAGCACCCTCGATCGTCTCCCTAGCCCATTCCGTTGTTAAGGGGTGTTTCTTTACTCAAAGGGGTCTATAAGGGTTACGAGTACTCAGGGTGTTTAAGGGGTCTATTAGGGGTCTATAAGGGGTCTACGAGTATCAGGGTGTTTAAGGGGTCTATTAGGGGTCTATAAGGGGTACGAGTACTCATTAAGGGGTCTATTAGGGGTCTATAAGGGGTATACGAGTACTCAGGGGTGTTTAAGGGGTCTATTAGGGGTCTATAAGGGGTATACGAGTACTCAGGGGTGTTTAAGGGGTCTATTAGGGGTCTGTAAGGGGTATACGAGTACTCAAACCATATCCATTCTTATTTATAACTCTGTGATAGCTTTTCTATAGCACCCTGGATCACCTCTGTAACTTGCCGTTGTTTAGGGGTGTATTTAAGGGGTCTATAAGGGGTCTGTAACGGGTCTACGAGTACTCAAACCATATCCATTCTTATTTATAAGTCTGTGATAGCTCTCTATAGCACCCTGGATCACCTCTGTAACCCTTGCCGTTGTTTAGGGGTGTATTTAAGGGGTCTATAAGGGGTATGGGAATCTTCATACCATACCCAGGCTAATTTAGTAATTTACTCTGTGATAGGTTTCTGTTGCTTCAGTATTTAAGCGGGATGATTTTATTTTTTTTTTTTTTTTCATCTTGGAACGCCACATAGCCTAAGCCTAAGCCACGCAGGACCTCGAGACCTTTCTAACGCGTCCAAGAACTCCCCCCCCCCCCCAACTCCTTGTGGTTGCTGAGAAAAAGTGAACTTAATTAGGTTCTGGTTTATGGTTCATGGTTTTACGGTATTAAAGTTGTGGCCGCCCCCTTGTTTTCGGTTCAATTGGATGAGGATTGTGTTGTGTTTTGCCCGAAATATATATATATATTATATATATATATATATATATATATATATATATATTTTTTTTTTTTTTTTTTTTTTTTTTTTTTTCGGTTACATATTGTGTATATTTGTGTAAGGTTGTAACTCATAAGACAGTGAATTTATCAATTAATGAAACCATCTAGAATTGTTTAAGATAGGTTTCAAAAGCCGGTACCTGTCTTGGGTGAGCCGCGAGGATTCACTAAGGGTTTCAGTGACTTCCAGTGCCATGGCTTCCCTGCCGCGGGGTTTCCAGTCTGTGGGGGGGGGGGGAGGCTTCAGTTATCTTCATAGTGTTATTGTTGGATATGTTTACAGAGGCATGTTGCACATACAAAGGACACACACAACAACACACACACACACACACACACACACACACACACACACACACACACACTCAGACGCATGTTGAGCACACACACACACCACACACACACACACACACACACACACACACACACACACACACACACACAAATCTATCTCATGAACTTACAAACCAAGAGTTGGATAAGCCAATCTATCCTCATTTCACAAACAGAAATAATGGACACAACGTCTATCCTGATTAGCAAAACAGGACAGCAAATCACACCATTTAACTCCCATAACATGCACTAACTGCTTACCAACAACAACCAGGGGAGTTGTGCATAGCTAATTACCATAATTTTCATAGCATTTACAACATAATAACATCACAACAACGATCACACAATTATATCTTTATCAGGATGGAAATTCGGAAGTAAGACTCAAATAACAATACTGAAAATGATGATAATAGAAGTAATAATAATAATAGTAATGTCAATAATTAATAATGAAAATAATAATAAAAATGATAATAATAATGATAATGATAATAATAAAGATAATATCAATAATAATAATAATAATAACAATAATAATATCAATAATAATAATAATAACAATAATGAATATAATGATGATGATAAAGGTAATAACAATAATAATAGACATAATAATAGACATAATAATAATAATAATAATAATAATAATAATAATAATAATAATAATAATAGTAATAATGATAATGAGAGCAATAGCAATCATAACAACAGCAACAAAAACAACAACAACAATAATAATAACAAGGATTACAATAATAACCCGCGTAGGTTTTCGAAATCCTCGGAACCTAAACAACATCAGGTGTTCGAGACAGCGACTTCGAAACACGTTTAACACATGTTTCAGCAGCGACTTTACCCATACAATCACACAATAAAACAGAGACACAACAAACCAACAAATAAACCACAATATAATGATAACATAAAATAACTAATAAATAAAGATAATAACAGAAAAAGGACGAAATAAAATACACAAAGGAAATAAAGCAATAAAACAGAGACACAACAAACAACAACAAACCACAGAATAAGGACGAAATGAATACACAAAGGAGATAAAGCCAATAAAACAAGAGACACAACAAACCAACAAACAAACCACAGAATAAGGACGAAATAAATACACAAAGGAGATAGAGCTAATAAAACAGAGACACAACAAACCAACAAACAAACCACAGAATAAGAACGAAATAAATACACAAAGAGATTAAAACAGAACACAACAAACAACAAAACCACAGAATAAGGACAAAATGAATACACAAAGGAGATAGAGCTAATAAACAGAGACACAAAACCAACAAAAAACACAGAATAAGAACGAAATAAATACACAAAGAGATAGAGCTAATAAAACAGAGACACAACAAACCAACAAACAAACCACAGAATAAGAACGAAATAAATACACAAAAGAGATAAGAACTAATAAAACAGAGACACAAAAAAACAACAAACCACAGAATAAGGAAAAATGAATAGATAGACTAATAAAACAGAGACACAACAACAAACAACAAACAACAACACAGAATAAGAACAAATAATACACAAAAAGATAAGAACACACACAACAAACCAACAAACAAACCACAGAATAAGGACGAAATGAATACACAAAGGAGATAGAGCTAATAAAACAGAGACACAACAAACCAACAAACAAACCACACATACACTAATAAAAGGAAAACAAACCATAAGGACAAAATGAATACACAAAGGAGATAGAGCTAATAAAACAGAGACACAACAAACCAACAAACAAACCACAGAATAAGGACAAAATGAATACACAAAGGAGATAGAGCTAATAAAACAGAGACACAACAAACTAACAAACAAACCACAGAATAAGTATGAAATAAATACACAAAGAAGATAAAACCAATAAACCAGAGACACAACAAACCAACCAACAAACCACAGAATAAGGACGAAATAAATACACAAAGGAGATAAGAGCTAATAAAAACGAGACACAACAAACAAACAAACAAACCACAAAATAAGGACGAAACGAATACACAAAGGAGATAAAACCAATAAAACAGAGACACAACAAACCAACAAACAAACCACAGAATAAGGACGAAATAAATACACAAAGAAGATAAAACCAATAAAACAGAGACACAACAAACCAACCAACAAACCACAGAATAAGGACGAAATAAATACACAAAGGAGATAAGAGCTAATAAAAACGAGACACAACAAACCAACAAACAAACCACAGAATAAGGACGAAATAAATACACAAAGAAGATAAAACCAATAAAACAGAGACACAACAAACCAACAAACCACAGAATAAGGACGAAATAAATACACAAAGATAGAGCGACTCACGACCACCACGCAG